AAGGTAGTTCCAGAATAAAAAGACCTCTGTCTGTATTTCAGGACATGTTATTTTGGGCAAAAAAACCTGATGTCTCTGGGCTCCAGTACTCTCAACTGTGAAATAAGAAAATACTTTACGAATGCAAAATTGGGACATAGAGTCTGACCAGGGATTCCTATGGGAGTTTCAGGTATGAGAATCAAACTAGCTCCTAGAGATTGGGTCTTACAAATGCTTGACTTGGGGCTACGATTCAAGTGAATCTAATAGAAATGGTTTAGGATATTTAAAGTGAAGATTCCACTAGACAATTTTGAGTGAATTTGGTATAGAACCTCCCACATGGTGGGGTACTGAGAATCAAATGAGGCAATGAACGGGGAGGATATTTTAAAACTGTAAAGCACCAAATAAATATTGACTATTCCAGTTATTACATTTTACTACCCTGTATTCATGTAGACATTTGCTTTGTATTTTAACCCACATTGTTACCTTTCGGACTTGAAATCCCAAACCTGTCTCTCATGTTTATGGAAGAATCTGACTTTCTGCAGTTCAAAGCCAGCCATTTTCCTGCTTCCCCAGGCACTCATGATGAGCACTAAAGGGTACAATACTCCACCCACTTATGTTGGTGATCCCTTTCCATGAAGCTTCATCCTATTTCTTTAGTTCATATGAAATATGGCTCAAAGAAAAGACTATCTCATTTATGGCCTTTCTCTTTTTTAAGTTAGGAGATTTGTTTGTATTATTTAAAATGCGTTTCCTCATTTTTATATACTATGGGCCTGACCCAAATCAAATCATCAGTTTCTAGGCTTTCTTGCCCAAGACTCCCCAGAGGCCCTTTCTCCATATTTCGGTTCTACTCCCTTCTGCCCTGCACTTCTTTCTGTTGCTGCACTCTGTGGAGTATCAGACGCTGTCCTGTAATGGTTGGGTTGGGATAGCCTGAGATAGCAGTCTGGTTGTCAGGGATGTCCATCTAGAAAAATATCAGTATGTGCAAGGAGGGAAGAAAGAAATGAAACTCACGGGCCAAACTTCACCATTATTTCTCCTTCTGAAGTAAATAAATATGACCTGATTTCAGGAACCCATGCTTCAGTCCAGGTTCATAGTAGGTTAATGCGCAGCTAAAGGGACAATACAGTTTTGGACTAAGGTAGCATGTAAATTATGACTTAAAAAATCTGTATCCTGTGGTTTTCCTTTGACTGCTCCACGGTTAATCCTCTGAAAAAAACCTTAGTGTTGAAAAAATTACTGGCTAGAGAAGAGAGAAGTTTTGAGAATTCAAGTAGACCAGAGGATTCTAGGGTCATTGCTACTTTGCAGAGGAACGACTCATCATTTTCTGGCCATAGTTTGACACTGGTGATATAACAAGATCCGGCTTCTCCTCTGTTTTCTTCAATTCCTTCAGAGGAGAGTTTTCACCTCCCATTTAGTGTTTTTAAGGCACTTGGCTCATTAGCATTGTGTGCTTTTTGTCCTATGCCTTATGTAACTAGAAGTTATTTTTATGCCAGAATACATTAATGAAGAAAGTACCACCAAGCCTACAGTTCTTCCTTTTGGTTGTCTTTTTTTTTTTTTTAATTAGAAATTTCACCTTCACAGTTTTTGTGCAGAAGATTCTATTTTCTAATCATTTTTTAGACCCGAAATATTTAATAGAGTGTGGCTTCAATCATCTCATTAGAAATCCCGTTGATGTTTGAGAAGCTTATCCAGGCTATCTGTCCCATTGCCTCACCATCAATGTACCAAAAAAGTTGAAACAGAGCAGGTGCCTGTGTGTGGATGCCCAAGATGTTTGCCTCCCTTCTCAGTTCCAGACAGCATATGGAATCCCCAGACACATTTTTAAAGTCACATTTTAAACACACATTCCTCAAAAGTAGACTAAAATAAATGGTGTGTACTTAGAGTACCTGAGACTACATCATCTGAAACATGAGTGAGAAACCTGTGGTTAGACAATGGCAAATGATTGTAGGATAAATATGGAATAGTGTTTCTTTGTTATATTTTGTATTGAAAAAAATGCATGTCTTTCCTCCTTCTTTGCAAGGCAAGATGCTTCACCCAGCATTTACCAAAGCGTGGTCTGAAAACTATCATTTTTTTCTGGATGAAAATCAGAATCCACACTTTCAGTTTCATGGCCAAGTAAGTTTGGGAAGCACTGTTACACAAAGCCAATCGCATTTATGCACTGCTGAAATTCTCAAGACTTTAATAAGCCAACAGGCTCTGTGAATTCCTCAGTTGGGGGAGGTAGCTCATACACAGCCTTCTTTTTCTATGGGGTCATTTTTAGGGCCAGTGAAACCACTTTGAAAACTGTGGACCAGCTCATTGGAAAGCCACTTATTAAGAGTGACTCATCCAGACAGATTACAGGATGAAGACAACTAACAGAAGAGCCACATTTGCACATGGAAAACACTAAACAAACACCAATGGGGCTCTTCGTGGCAAAGTTTAAAAGTGATTTTGGTCTAAATTAAATGGTTTCCAAAAACTTATCTAGAACAAATGCCTCTTGAATATGAAATGCTGGTTTTGTATTTGTAACGACTCCCTAGAAAATCAAGCTTTTAATCTAAAACTTATATAATTGGTCTGAAGAACTTCCTGTCTCCACCTTAAGAGATTCAGGAAACACAAAAGATGGCTTGAGTATATTTCCAGACAGTGACATCAGAAGACAGGAATTAGCATGATGTTAGGTGGCTGTATTTAGGAATTATCTCTACGTAGAAGTCAGTCCCTCTTCATGAAAGCCCCTAACATTTCCAGCACTCCATGCTGGTGCATATACCTTCAGGGCTGAGATGTGGGATTTTTCTAAGTATCTCCTGGCGCTTGGCTAGAAAGACTTTTCCACAGGTACTGTCTGCCAGCCTGGGCTCAAGATTCACCTGCTGGGAAATTGCCAAGCACAGCTTTAGGCCTCGAAGGAGAATAACTTGATGGTGTCAAAAGACAAATGAAGCAGAAGTTCATTAAGAAATTGCAATGCAAAAGCAATGATAATTAAAAAGCATTCAGAAAATCTGGCAAATGAGCTTTTCAAACTAATACAGGAGGGAGAATTCCACAGGCATCGTCTTTGCCCATCTCTATGGATGGGATTTTGAGAGGCAAAACCCAACTACTGCGTTTAAAGAAAGAGGGATAATTTCAGCCAGGGGCATGAAGGGAGGCTGAGGAGCCCTCTCTGTGGGACCTTTAGCAAGAAGCTTCAGATAAAGACAATGTTCCCCGTGAGATAGTTTTAAAGGCCTTGGGTGCACAACCAGAAATTCACTGGAGGACAGGCCAGGAAAATTTCAAAAGGTTGAAAACATTTTCAATCTCTCTAATTTCTCATTATAGTTTTCTATTTTTTCCCCTTGAAGATCATAAAGCATAATGTAAAAACAAGGTAAATTGTAGCAAAGCATGATCTAGGTATGTAACTCATTCCTATAATATACAAGACTTTTAGACTTCTTTGAAATAGGCCTTTCACTTTATTATGGGGAAAATTAAGGTAATATAGAAACTAGCCTTTACAGTTTTCAATTTGTGACCATTTCCAATCATCATATCTGAATAATGTCATTCTTAAAACCACTTAGGTTTTGTCTTATGCTTTTCCAGATGTTAGTGATACAAAAGATCGCCAAGTAGTACATTTTAATTCTGAATCACCAGAAAGAATATTTTGGCTATGATATAATCACCATCATCATTATTATTATTTTAATTTAAGAACACTGGTTCCAAGGGAGAATAAGAGAAGGGGAAGGTATTCAATATTTGGTACTGAAAATAATTGTAATAAATGCTATGGCTAAATATTAGAATTCTGTTTAATATATTTTTTAAAAATTGAGAAAACATTTTAATAATTTTGCTTATCATTTGTCATTGATCTTTCTAAATGCAAGAACTTGAAAGGCTGTTGACATTTAAGAAAAAATAATGCAAGCATGTTTAGATTTCTGTACATTTCACACTTCACCAAGTGAGTATATTTAATGTAACAACAGTTCTAGTCAAAAAATAAGGAATACTCACATTAATGGACAATTTGATTTTAAAGATAAGCATAACATAGACACATTTTGATCATTGTTTTTATATTACTAAGGAAGTCCTATACCAGACTTGTGCAGAAGACAGAGAAAGACAAGCCTAGGGTTCATCCTTCAAGGACTTTATAGCCCAGTTGAGCCTATAGGCAGTAAAACTAGTAACAAAAAGAGTAAATGCAAAAAGCCAGATGAATAATAAAGACATGATTAATTAATGAAGTTCAGTGGTAAGACAGAAAGAGAACCTTGTAGCAGTGGCACGATTTGAACCTGAAATTAAAGCATAGCTGAGATTACCTTAGTTGGAGAGGTTTTCTCCAACTAAGAGGTTCTCTCCAACTAATTAGAGAGATAATCTCTACAATTCATTGCATGTGAGGGACAGAGAGAATGGTTTGGGAAAGATTGCTGCAATAAGATATGATTACTCCAATTCTGGGCCAAATGAATAATATCATTTGTTTGAAGCCAAGAGTTTCTGTAGGTCAAGGAATGAAGAGCTGTCGAGCTAAAAAGGAAAGGTGAAGCTGGACTATGGAGGGCTTTGAGTGCCAGAGCAAATCTGAACTGTTTTCAGGAAGAGTGAGTGCTGTGTGGAGAGGGAGTTGAGGGGCAGGAGGATGCAGCCAGTAGACCACTGGTGTTAGCTGATAAGCCCCTGGACCAGTAAGCTAGGCAGTAATAGTGGGCGAATGGGGGAGAGCAGGAAGCAGAGTGTGGTGAAAAGTGAGAGTGAGAGACTGGAATCTCTGCAGACTCTTTCAGAGAATGCCAGGAGTGGTTTGCTTTTCTTTTCTCCTTTTTCCCCCTTTTTGTGCATTTTTAGCCATGAGTTGACACATTCACTGGATCTTAGGGTTAGAAGTGACATTTGATCAGGTCTTCTGTTTTTAGTGAAGTTTGTTTATTCCTGTTTTGCAGACATGGTAATTAGAAACCAGGAAGACTGAGAAAGAATCAGATGTGCAGCAGCTCAGTAAGTGGTAGACCTGGAACAAGAAGCCAGTTTTCTGAGCTCCTGAAGCAAGGCCCCGCCTCCCACTTTGTCTTTCCCCAGGAGAGGAGGTATGACAGAGTGAGCAAAGGTCTTAGGCTGATTTTTTAAACTGTGTGAATATCAGTGTCTGGTATTTTATTACAATAACTTAAAACATAAAATTAAAATCACAGCATGCTCAGCCATGTATTTCCCTTCCAATGCAATACTTTTGCATACCAAAGGATCTGAGGACAGTTTTCTATTTCAAACTTTTTTTAAAAGCCACTATATATATAGGCTCTAAATGTAGAAGTTCTAATTTTTTATAAGTGATTTTTAAAATTAAAAATGTGAAAGTAAAAAAATCAATTTTAGGAAATTAATACGTTAAATGACTTGAATTTCTCTAAGGGTTCTTTGCAATGCTTTCCCATTATTACAACCTCAATATCCTGTTTTAGCAACATTTATTTAACTAGTCACATTTTACTTTTATGAGAGAGCAATAAATGTAAAAGGCATATAAAAACCACAGCCAAATGGTTGACATCTGACCTTTAATCATCTCTCAGACTCTCCTTTAGCAGCATACCACCTCCTCTTCTACATACACACAAACACACAGTGTGCATCCACCCACTTCCTAATTTACCACATATCATGATGTTGCTTAAGAAAAAAATTACTTTCTTGACCATGGGCCGCCTTTTGTTTCTCCTCACTTTTTTTTTTTTTTAACTATTTTTATTATTTTCTGTTATTTGGCCTAACGAATTACCACTTTCTTTGTGATTAAAATTAAGACTGGAGCCTCAAAAATGGTAGTAAAATGTAATTTTTTAAACTGTCACAAGATCAAGAATCAAGTAAAAAGTTTGTTTTGAATTTTGAAACTGCACTATTATAAATAATATAGTTCTTAATTTTTACCAATATATGAATAATTATCTAACCTAAACTGCACACACACACACACACACACACACACACACACACATACAGACACACAGACACACACACACATTATATATCGATTATAAACAACAGGAAATATAGATAGAATTAGTAATTAGTAGAAGGGATCTGAGAAGAGGCCCGATCGCCAATCATTTGACAGATATCAAGGTTGAAAGACATGGCTAATGTCACATGGCTACTGAGGGCAGAACTAGAAGAAAGACAGAACAGTCCTGGGCTTAACCCTGTTCACTCACAACCATGCCCCCAAATATGACATCATTTGCAGAAAGAGAATGCTGTGTCCCGAACATACAAAGGTTGAACCAGAATGTCGCACTGTTCACGGCAAACCCGGGAAAAGATCCCATCCTTGAAGCAACTTTCTTGATTGCTGCCTCTATTTCAAAAACTTGAGATGACGGGTGGCCCAACAACACTCCTCTTCTGCCTTGTTTTGTCTTCATGGGATGAAAAAGGGTAGGAAAAGTCTGGAAACCTGACCCAACTCAGTCAATAAAAAGGCTTTTGTCTGTGAACTTGACCACAAGTGACTCATTAACAGCTGATTGAAAGATTTTTGTCAGGAACTACCCCCCATCTTTTAGCAGAAACAAATAATTTGAAACAAAACAAGTACAAAGTAGAATCAATTCCCACTTCAAAATAGTGTTGTCTACTACAGGTAAAGGTGTTTATTTCCTCCTGACAAAATATTTGTTCTGGATTTACTGCTGTAAATATCCCTTTACCTAAATCCACCATTTTCTTTGTCAAAGATGAAGCCTGAAAAATTATTTGCAAGATGTCTTAAAGTGTATCCTGAATTAATAGTTCAATTAATTTTTTAAAAAACATTGTTTTTGTTTCTAGTAGATGAATAATTACACCCTACCTTGATTTCAAATAGTATTGTATTTTAATTTATTTTATTAAAGCTCAAAAGAAATTAGATTCAATTTAGTATTTTTATTATTTATTTTTAATTATAAGTATTATTTTTTTAAAAAAGTGCTTACTATGTGTGCATTGTATTTCATTTCCACAGTATTCTTCCTTAAAACACATTAATAATTTTTGACCTTTTAATAATTGACTTCAAGTCAGAAAAGGTAGTGGCATTAAACTATATTCAGCCTTTATTAATATAGCATTTAAACTCACAGAAAATGCCAGACTCAAAAATTCTGACAACGAAAATTCATTCTGATCAGCTTTGTCTCTGCCCTTTGTAAGGGTTGCAAGAAAACTGGAATATCTTCTGTTAAATATTCTGAAATATCACCAGTAGCATCCATCTGTTAAGTTAAAAGTCTTTTCATCATATTTACTTTTTATCTTTAAAAAGGGCATAGGCCCTCTGCCTCTCCAGCTTGAGGTGTGAGAGGATCCACAAATGAAAACACACTATCATCATTAGACTTGAAGTTCTAGAGACAATCTCATTCCAAGGGAATTAAAATAATGAATTACATTTTGTCCTGGTAGTTTTTGTGGTGTGGTATTTCAAATTGGCTGAAAGTCACTACCGTACAATCCTCATACATATTTCAGTATTAGTCTGCAACTCCATATTCCTTTAAGATTCTGCTATTCTATCTCAGTTGGTATGAACAAGAGCTAAGCCTTCAGCCCTGGGCTAGCAGCATGGGCAAGTGATTCAGATGAAGGGCTTGATTAACAGACTCTGCAGTTCTGCTCTAACAAGTCAAGCATTTCCTGGAAACCCGCCCACAGATTGTGGGACTATTTTTAGTAGCTCACCTCCCAGTAAATGTTAGCTATTAGATATCCAGATATCCATGCCTCTTTCACATGCAGTAAAATAGAACATAAAAGGGTGTAATTGAATGATTACAGCTAAAACCTGTTATCAGGAGCCATAGGGTCTCTCTCTTTCTGCTGAGACTCTGGGACACAGCCCCAGAAGGGCCTTGTCCCTCTTCACTGCCTGGGGAAACACGCATGCACTACACCCCCTGTGCTGCTGTTCTGCAGACACAGAGTAACCTCAAAAGCAGGTGCCTTGCAGATGCAGTGTAACCTCAAAAGCAGGAATCATTGGAACTGTTTTCTGTTCATGCATGGAGTGTATAAAGGAAAGGCAAAAGAATTCACATATTTGGACATCTACTTGTGTATTCTGTAATTTTCATAACCATGAGAGCTAGGTAGTTACCATTATTTTCATTTTACTAATGAGCAAAGTTTACTGCTATGGTCTGAATTTTTGTGTCTTCCCAAAATTCTTATGTTGAAACCTAATCGCCAATATTATGGTATTATGCAGTGGGACATTTGGGAGGTGATTAGGTCATTAAGGCAGAGGTCCCATGATGGGATTAGTGCTCTGATGAAAAGAGGCTCCAAAAAGCCTTCCCTCTTTCACCATGTGAGGACATGGCTGGAAGATGCCATCTGTGAACCAGAAAGTGGACCCTCACCGTCCCTGAATCTGTTGCCATTCTGATTTTGGGCTTCCTAGTCTTCAAAACTAACAGAAATAAATTTCCGTTTTTATAAGCCAAAAACTTATGGTGTTTTTTTAGAGCAGTCTGAATGGACCAAGATATTTACAAATCAGCCAAAATCAGCAATTGCCCCAAGACTTATGGCTAACGAGCAGTCTCAAAGTTGGGTTTAAACTCAGCCCATATTTCCCTCTTACACTCTGCTCTTTGATGGGGGACAGAATAGCAGACTGTATAACTAGGGTGGCTGAGTAATTTATTGTGCAAACCAATACATGTCTAAGGGACAAGCGGAAGTGCTGTTAATAAAAACACTGGGACAACAAGCCTAACCTGTAAGGGGCTTGGGTGAACCAGAATGTATGCTTGTTCTGTCCCTAATCCTGCCTTGCTCATGCCAGCAGAGCCAAGACTAAAGGTAAATGCCCAGTTGAAAGTTTCTAGCCCACTGCTCAGGGTGGAGACAGCTTATGCCAGAATCCTGCCATAGGTCCCTTGGGCAATAGGGAATGAAGCATTTAAGAATATTATATTTAAGACAAGATTTTAGGCATGAAGTTTCTATTTTATTTTATTTAACTCAGAGAGGATCCATCATGCAGAAAGTATTATTTACAGCTGTGCCCCTAACTCCTTAGAGGCAGTGAAACTACATCATTGGACTGCCAGTCACTTTCATTAGGTTTATTGAGTTAACACAAAAATATCTAACGTTTATTGACTAGCCATGTGCCAAACAATATGCAAAGTGATTTACTTACATTATCTCATTAAATCCTCTATGAGGTAAGTAAATTTATGGCCCCATTTTACAGACAAGAAAACTCAGGCACAGAGAAATTTGCTGGAGAACACACACAGAGTAAGTGGCTCAGTTGTATTCAGACAGAGGATTCCGCCTCCATAGCCTGCATTCTTCATTATGACACAGGGCCATGTGTGTTGTGTTGGTCTTGAAACTAGAAGGGTCACAGAGTGATGTGACCTCACAAAGCTTGTATATTATTGAAGAGAGGCTTTTTTTATATCACCACCTCAACTAACACCTCAGTGTTTGTAGGAAGACATCATGTGTGTATTTTTACAAATACTAAATGTCAAATGAGTGACACAGTACACTCTGTCATATCATGGTGCTTTGTGGATAGAGATAAGATGGCATATGCTGAGGGAATATATTGATATTTATCTTCTTAAATATTCATCTCATTCTCCCAGGTAGCATGGGAAGCCTTGCAAAGGATGGTCCTGCAGTTCTTTAAAGCCCTGGCACTTGGCACATTGTAAACACAGATAACTCTGTGCTTTATGACTGAAGCTGTGAATTGAACCACAGAGCATTCAGAGCAGAGAAAGTCTCTGGGGGTTACATGCAAGGCCTGGGAGGCTTGAAGAAATTTGAACTGAGACTTGAGGTTGGGAAAAAGGCTTTGAAAAAATGAAGGAGAAAGATTAAGGGTATCCCAGGTGAGAGAAACAAATTAAATAAATGAACTCAGGTGGGAGTTTTGAGGGGAATGTAAAGAAAGGATGTCTGGATTGAGTTGTGTTAAAAAAGACTGAATGAGAAAGGAAGATTATGAGGTCTTTGGTGTTAAGATGCCAATTGGTCCATATTTCATAAAATAAGAGCATCCTCCTGATCTAGTACTACAGGG